GCCCCTGGCCTTGTTCTGACTGATGATATTGAGCTTTCCCGTTGTCTTTTTCCACAGATGTAGTCAATTTGATTCCTGCGTATTCCATCTGGCGAGGTCCATGTGTATAGTCACTGTTTATGCTGGTAAAAGAAAGTATTTGCAATGAAGAAGTCGTTGGTCTTGCAAAATTCTATCCTGTGATCTCCAGCAAAGTTTCTATCACCACGGCCATATTTTCCAACTACTGATCCTTCTTTGTTTCCAACTTTCACATCCCAATCACCAGTAATTATCAATCCTTCCTGATTGCATATTCGATCAATTTCAGACTGCAGAAGTTGGTAAAAATCTTCAGTTTCTTCATCTTTAGCCTTAGTGGTTGGTGCGTAAATTTGAATGTCTTAGTCATCTAGTGCTGCTATAACAGAAATACCACAAGTGGATGGTTTTAACAAAGAGAAGTTTATTTCCTCACAGTCAAAGTAGTCTAAAAGTCCAAATTCAGGGCGTCAGCTCCAGGGGAAGGCTTTTTCTCTCTGTTGGCCTTCTCTTCGGTGTTCCCCCAGACTAGGAGCTTCTCTGCACAGGGACTCTGGTCCAAAGGATGTGCTCTGCTCCCGGCACTGCTTTCTTGATGGTATGAGGTCCCCAATTTTCTGCTTGCTTCCCTGTCCTTTTATCTCTTGAGAGATAAAAGGTGATGCAGGCCACGCCCAAGGAAACTCCCTTTACATTGGATCAGGGATGTGACCTGGGTAAAGGTGGTGTTACAGTCCCACCCTAATCCTCTTTAACATAAAACTACAATCGCAAAATGGAGGCCAACTACACAATTCTGGGAATCATGGCCCAGCCAAGTTGATACACACATTTTTGCGGGACATAATTCAAACCATGACATTCCACCCTTTGGCCCCCCAAAAATCACATCCTTGCAACATGGAAAACATATTCACCCCAACATACAATAGCAAAAGTCTTAACTCCAAGTCCAAAATCCAAAAATTCCTCTTCATCTGTGAAATCTAGAATACAAGTTATTTGCTTCCAAAGGTACAACGGCAGAACAGGCACAAGCTAGACATTTCCATTACAAATGGGAGAAACTAGAGGAAAAGAAGGGATAACAGGCACCAAGCAAGTCAGCAGAACACATTACATTAGCCCTCAAGGCTTTGAAAATAATCTTCTGTTCTCTAAGACAATTTACACAATAGCCCTGCCCTCCAGACTCTAGGTATTGGCCACAGTCTCTGGATTTTGACGGGAAGCCCCTCGGCCCTGGGCTTCAGCTCCGCCTTCCAGGCCCCAGGGACAGCAACTCTGCTCCCTTGGCTTTAGGCGCACCGTTCTCCTACTCCCTTGGAGTGACAACTCCACCCTTAGAAACACCAGAGGCCATGGCTCCACCCTTTGAAACTTCTGAGGTCATGGCCATACCTTTTGAGACTGAGGCAGCTCAGCTTCTTGTGTCCCTAGTCTCTTCAGCTTCTGCTTCCTTGGCCTCTCGGCCCTTGGGCCTCACGCCCACATCTGCCCTGCTGGGGCAATTGTTCAAAAGCTCTGTAGCTCCACCGGTAAGTGCCCGGAGGCACCCCACTCCGCCAGAAAGCCTCGTGCACACAGGCACTCAGCTCTCTCGCTCCGTGGGTCTGCAAGCCTAGCTCCACTGATAAGTACCCAGAGGCACCCCACTCCGCCAGGAAGCCTCCTGTGCACAGGCACTCAGCTCTCTCGCTCCGTGGGTCAGCTCCAGCGCCATCTCACACTGGTCTCCTGGTTCTGCTGCTGTTGGTTCTCTGCCACTGCCGTTTCTCTGCTGCTGCAGGTTCTCTGCTGCTGCTGGTCCTCTGCTGCCGCCACTGTATCCATTCACAGTTTCAAAACCACTTCCACATTTTAGGTATCTGTGAGAGCAGCACCCTACTCTCTCGGTACCAAATTCTGTCTTAGTCATCTAGTGCTGCTATAACAGAAATACCACAAGTGGATGGTTTTAACAAACAGAAGTTTATTTCTTCACAGTCAAAGTAGGCTAAAAGTCCAAATTCAGGGCGTCAGCTCCAGGGGAAGGCTTTTTCTCTCTGTTGGCTTTCTTCTCTTCGGTGTTGCCCCAGACTGGGAGCTTCTCTGCACAGGGACCCCAATCCAAAGGACGTGCTCTGCTCCCAGCACTGCTTTCTTGATGGTATGAGGTCCCCAATTCTCTGCTTGCTTCCCTTTCATCTCTTGAGAGATAAAAGGTGGTGCAGGCCACACCCCAGGGAAACTCCCTTTACATTGGATCTGGATGTGACCTGGGTAAAGGTGGTGTTACAATCCCACCCTAATCCTCTTTAACATAACAATCACAAAATGGAGGCCAACTACACAATTCTGGGAATCATGGTGTAGCCAAATTGATATACACATTTTTTGGGGGGACATAATTCAAACCATGACATTGAATAATAGTCATATTAAGTGGTGTTCCTTGTAGGTGTATGGATATTATCCTATCACTGACAGTGTTGTACTTCAGGATGTATCTTGAAATGTTCTTTTTGACGATGAATGCAACACCATTCCTTTTCAAGTTGTCATTCCCGGCATAGTAGACCATATGATTGTCTGATTCAAAATGGCCAACACCAGTCCACTTCAGCTCACTAGTCCTAAGATATCGATGTTTACACATTTCATTTTTGATGATTTCCAATTTTCCTAGATTCATACTTCGTACATTCCACGTTCCGATTATTAATGGATGTTTGCAGCTGCTTCTTCTCATTTTGAGTCATGCTGCATCAGCCCAATGAAGGTCCCAAAAGTTTGACTTCATCCACGTCATTAAGGTTGACTCTACTTTGATAAGGCAGCTCTTCCCCAGTAGTCTTTTAAGTGCCTTCCAACCTCGGGGGCTCATCTTCCGGCACTATATCAGACCATGTTCCACTGCTATTCATAAGGTTTTCACTGGCTAATTCTTTTCAGAAGTAGACTGCCAGGTCCTTCCTCCTAGTCTGTCTTAGTCTGGAAGCTCAGCTGAAAGCTGTCCGTCATGGGTGACCCTGCTGGTATCTGAATACTGGTGGCATAGCTTCCAGCATCATAGCAACATGCAAGCCCCCATAGTATGACAAACTGACAGACACGTTGGGGGAAACCACACCTGTTGCCGTCGAGTCGATCCGACCCTACAGAACAGAGTAGAACAGTCTCATAGGGTTTCCAAGGAGCAGCTGGTGGATTCGAACTGCAACTTTTTGGCTAGCAGCTGAGCTCTTAACCACTGTGCCACCAGGGCTACCACTTAAGATAGAATACAGGACTTCAAATAAACTTTTGAGAAAAAAATAATAATAGTTCTGATAAAGGCTGTAAACTCTGTCCACAGAGTTTAAAGTTGAATTCCAAATTCACACTATTAGGGATGTTGTTGTTGTTGCGAGCTGTGAAGTTGAATCTCACTCATAGCTACCCTATGAGACAAAGGAGAACTGCCGCATAGGGTTCCCTAGGTTGTAATCTTTATGGGAGCAGATCACCAGGTCTTTTCTCCCAGACTTGCTGAAGTCACATAGTGAGGGACAGAATCAAGCCCAGAATCTGAGGCTCCTGACTTTAATATTGTTTCAGTTGTGAATCACTTTGTGCAAATATAAGAGTAAAAAAAAACCCATTGCTTCGAGTCAATTCCAACCCTATAGGGCAGAGTAGAACTGCCCATAGGGTTTCCAAGGAGCTGGCTGCTGAACTGCTGACCTTTTAGTTGCAGCCTGAGCTCTTAACCACTGTGCCACCATGGCTCCTATATGAGTAGGGCAAACTGGGCCAGGCTGAACGTGTTTAAACTGTTCTAGGTCCAAGAGCCAAGCAGACTGCCAAATAAGAAAATAAATCGTTTGGCAATCTGCTTGGCGCTTGGACCTAGAACAGTTTAGACACGTTCAGCCTGGCCCAGAGACTGTCTTTCCACATTTAAAACAAGCAACCAGATGAGAGAAGAATTACATAAACAGCTATTAGTGACTCCTGTAGCCAAATGACATTTACCTTTGATTGTTTAAATTTTACATCTGGACAAAACAGATGTCTCAGTTAACAAAAAGGGAAAACCAGAGATTAATAACGAATGCCTATTGTTGTAAATAGAAACCCTGATGGTTAAGAGCTATGGCTGCTAGCCAACAGGTTAGCAGTTCGAATCCACCAGGCGCTCCTTGGAAACTCTATGGGGCAGTTCTACTTGGCCCTGTAGGGTCACTATGAGTTGGAATCGACTCATTGGCAATGGGTTTGGTTTTTTAAATTTTTTTTATTGTTGTAAACACATAGGGTCGCCATGAGTGGGGGCAACTCGAGGGCAGCTAACAACAATGATCTTGTTATAAAGAACACGTAAACAGGTTCTGCTCCAGTCTTATGAATATATTTTCCTCATGATTACATGCTGACCCCTCCTCTCCTCCTTTTTTTTTTAACCTTCTAAAACCAGCAAAATGCTACCCTCCTTCTTGGACAAGGAGGAACAAGGCAATAGTGGAAAAATACCCTTGATCATTTAAAGACAGGCACAATGCTTTACCAGTTCTCCAGGGTATCCCACAGGTTCTGAATGCAACGCCACACCAATAAATATTCGCACTCTCCAAACCGCCAGGGCCTGCTCCTAGAGAAGCCCACAGGACATAAGGGCGCCGGGGCTGGGAACCCAGCGTCCCTCCCTGTCGGTGCAATGACAGAGTTTACGGTCACAGGCAGAAAGTGGTCCACTGTGTCTTGAAAAGTCTGGCTCCAAGCCACCGGCCCGTCTGGCCTGACCGCATCTGACGGATGGACGGCTTCGGGCCAGCTGTGGGACTCACAGCCTGAGGCGACCTCCTCATAGCAGGAGGCGCAGGAGCTGAAGGTAACAGGGCAGCAGAGGTCGAGGGCACGATCCCCCCGGAGGAGGGAGGCCGCGCGCATGCGCGCCACGCCGGCCGGAAGAGCGGGGCAGCCGAGAGAGGCTGCTGGTGGCGCCACACGCCGCCACGGCCGCGAGGAGAACGCTTGACGCGATATGTGGCCCCTGGACAGTACCGGGGCTGCGGACCTGCTGGAGCCTGGTCCGTCGCAGCTGCCGCCAGACGCCGCACCCCCTGACGCGAGCGAGGAGCCCGCGGCCGCCGAGGTAGCGGGAGCGCCCGGCCCGGGCAGGTGCTGGCTCTGCAGCTCCTCGCCGTGCGGCTGGTGTGCGGAGCGGGGTGAGTACCGGGTGCGGCGGGGGCGTGGGGCTCGCCCCCAGGGGGCCCGGGCAGGCGCTGGCGGGTTAGTGTCCCCACCACTACTGGCTGAGCGCAAAGCGGACCGTGCGCCCACTCCCTCCCGCCCGGTGCTGGGGGAAAACCCTCGAGTTGTCTGCCGGGGGGCTGCAAAACAGAAGCTCCCTGCACTCCTCCGCCGGCGCGGAGGTGGAAGAAAGTTTCTGCCTGTGCTTGGAACCGCTTTTGCATTCTGCGGCTGCGCTTATGATTAAAGTGTTGCGGGCAGGACCGTGGAGTCAGATTGCCGATCGGTGCGCCCTGCGCGAGGTCAGCGAGAAAGGCCATCCTGCACCCGGGCCGAGGTCGGGAGGAAGCTGATTATGAAGACTGATCTCGGTGGTAAACGGTGTTCACCGAAGAGCACGTTGAAAATGTTTGTCCCAGTGTCTTAGAATCTTGCAGAGGCAGAGTTGAGTGGGACTACTGGTTCCTAACCTTTTTGGAATACGAGAATTTTTTTTAACAACTGATGCAAAACGAGGCAGAGGCACAATCTTACGTACATTGTTAAGGGCTTCACGGACCCATCCCCAAAGCCAGCGACCCTGCTTGGAGAACTCTTGATCTTGTTCATATCCCTCCTTTGACAATTAAGGAAAGTGAGGCCCAGGAAAGTTAGGGTTTTGTTTTTGGTTTTGCCCAGTAGCGGGAAGGAGAGGGGAATATGAGGGTGCAAGTCTGGGTAGCACCACGGTTAGGATCCCAGTCAAGGGCCCTTTCCACTGCCCACTAGCGCTGCTTTAAGCACATTCTTCCATAAAGCTTACCACCCATGTGGAGCAGCTTCCTGGGATAGAAGTCTGTCCCTGGAAGAAGAAGGAAATAGGTAAATCTCCTTTTAAGACAGTTATATTGTCTGCAGATCCTCCATGAGTGTGAATCCAGTCGACAGCAACTAACAACACCACTGTCTGCAGCACCTCATCCTCTGGGTCTCCTCCCATCACTGTGACCTGAGATTTCCCTCGTCTCTGCATGTACTTCCCCCAGTTTAGAGAGGCAAACCCTAAGAAGATGGTTCGAAAGGCTAACAGAAATTATCAGACTTCTGATCATTTATGCATGGGCTACGAGCACTCTGCACAGTAGCTGGTGCTCCCAGAGCAGGGGTTACCCCAAGCAGGGTTGATCAGATGTCTGGCCTTTGAAGAGGTTAGTTTCTCAACTTACCACCTTCCTGTTAAATGTCATTCTGGTAGAATGCTGAGTCAGCCCTTGCAAATGCTAAAAGTTTCCCGTTTGTGAACCAAAGAGGAATACTGTACACTCAGGCACCACATGGCAAAATGACAAACTTCTGTAAGTGATTGCACTTAAGAATCTTGTGGGGTCTTTTAACTTCTAAGAAAGTTGCTGATGGTAAGACTTAATAATAGCTCCTGTAAAACGATCAGGTAATATTCCAAAAACAGGATTGCCATGGAAATAAACAACTGTAATATTGTCGTTGAACTTTGTGACAGTATGCTTTTAGCCCCTTGATCTAGTTGGTTATCTCAACAAAGCTCATTTTCAAGCTCAGGTTGAAAATTGTTTCCCAATTTCTTATGTTCTTGGATGACCTTAACAGGCAGTGTATAACTGTCGTTAAGACACTTATTTACTTTCTTTAGGGACAATGTGGGTCTTAGATTTAAGCAAGAGGAAGAATTGGGCTTTGGGCCTGTGCCTCACAGCCTCCTGGAAGGAGTGAGTTCTATAAGACAGCAGTGGTTCTCAAACTAGTGGAGCTTTTTACAGTGACAGAAATTCTGTTTGAGTCTGATGGGGCTTGGGAATTGAATTTTTAAAAGTTACTCAAGTGATTCTAATTCACACAGGGTTGTGAATCATGAGTTCAAAAGCGGAGGATAGAGAAGCTAAGCAACTTTTCAGTTTTCTTCTATGTCAGGAAATTACACTGTGGCCACCTGTTTAACGAGGGTGAGGACTAGTTCTGTTTAGACAATCCTCAGTCTCTTACCGAATAATAAGTATATTTCAGTTCTCTGTGTCAGTCGAGATGAGCAAGAGAGTAGAATAATTAAGTGGCATTTGCTTATATAATGTACTTCCATGTTCATATGCCACTGCAAGTATATCTAATACTTTGACAACTCTCAACAATTCAAATTAACAAGTAGACCTTTTAACAACATCTAGCCTGTCCCAGTCAGGAGGCAAAGACTTTAAATGTTTACAGGCAATAAAATATATATACAAGCACATGTATTTTAAGGAATAAGATAATCAGGGCCAAGGATGTAAAATTTTAGAAGAGTTAAAGTATTGTGTTAAATTAAAATATTCTGGAGAAAGATTACCAAGTTTAGGTTGGAGAAGATCCTTGAACTATAGACCAGGGAGATGTTTTCTGTCCCTGATCTTCTCATTCCGTTCTGTCTGAGGGTGTAGGTTCTATGTATGGGTTGGGTTTCTTTTAAGAAAAACTGTTTGATTTGGACCTGAATTCTGAAATTTCAGAAGCTAAATGTGAAGGCTGACCACAGCCAAGGCATGTACTTTGTGGTGCTTAAGTTGGAAGTCGTCTAAAGCTTCCTTCTCATGGGCTGAATTGGCCTGTGCAGTTGGTTTCTGCAGTATACGAGCACGTAAGTCCAGAACACAACGTGGGGGATTCTGGGCACCTATAACACATAACCTATAACATGGAGACTGCTAACTCCCAAGTCAGTCTCTTCAGCTGTACCCCTAGAACAGTAGGAGGTGAAGGCCTCTGGAGAACAATAGCATCTTTGACTGCAGAAGGTCAGGCTGTAGAATGCCCTGGAAAGACTGCATTGTCATGCTTTGGTCCTGATTTGCGAAGTGTCACTTGTGGGCAAAAGGTATCTAGCTAGCATGATGATGTTGAAATCTACTACTAGGTGTTTGCGTTTATCAGAGAAGGACATTTTTTTAAAAAATATTATTACGCAATACTGTTCCATAGCTGAGTAAGACATTGTGAATTCCCAGATTGGAACGATAATCCTGGTTTTACTACAAATTGCCCGTGTCCACACATCCTTCAGCTCCACTCTTGCTCTTAACTGATGAGGGCCAGTTGTGTTTCCTTCTTTTTTTCCTCGTTTTTGTGTTAGTTTCAAAAAAGATTTCAAAAAAAGGAATATATTTCTCATGTATGGTTTCTCTTTTAGAGAGTTCTCTGCTTATCCGGTTCCATTTTGCTCTCCTCTGGGTGTCAGGGGAGTAAGATTGAAGAGGTTCTACTCCTCTTATCATAGGAAACTAAGACATAGGAAGGTTAGTGGCTAAAAAAAAGTTTAATGCCCACGTAGATTGTCATTAATGGATTGAATATTTGAGACCCTAGAGAAGGCTGTCTCCTGGTTCAGATCAAGCCCCTCTGCCCCCCCCAAAAAAAACAGTTGCCGTCATGTCGATTCCGACTCATGGCAACCCCATGTATGTCAGAGTAGAATTGTGCTCCACAGGGTTTTCAATGACTGTGAGCTTTCAGAAGTAGATTGCCAGGACTTTCTTCCAAGGAGCCTGTGGGTAGATTTGAACTGCCAACCTTTCTGTTAATAGCCAAGCATTTGGGCCACCCAGGGACTACTAGATCAAGCCAAGAAGTAGATATTAGATGCCAGTCATGTGCTAGGCACTTTGGTGTCAGGGGAGTAAAGACCAGGTCCCTGCCCTTGAAGAGTTTATGCTGTAAATGGAGAGATAAGTCATAAACCATGAAAAGTTTGATAAAGATTTGATTAACAGGTCAGGATAAGAAAATGAAGAGCATAGTCTCAGATTATGCCGTCGCCAGTTGTTAGAGTCTGAGTCTTTTCATGAAGTTCTCTCATATTCTTTCCTTCAGCAAATATTTATAAAGGGTCTGCTGTATGCCAAGTCTGAATAAGCCCAATAAGGTCCCAGCCCTCGAGGAGCCCACAGCCTTGTAAGGGAGGTCAGATAGATCATCAACAAGTAACCATATAACACAGTTGTAAACTGTTTTCCAGAAAAGAACACTTTCTGCATTAAAGCCGAGTTCACCAATAGGATGGTATAAAATATTATCATTTGGAAGCATTTTCACTTGCCATTTCTTAAAGATTTCTCTTGCTGTCTTGGCAAGCTTTCTACTTCTTGTTGACATGTAAGTGAGCATCATGGTTTGAATTATGTCCCCCAAAAGTGTGTATCAAGTTTGGCTGGGCCATGATTCCTGGTACTGTGTAATTTTCCTGTATGTTGTAAATCCTGCCTCTATGATGTTAGTTAATGAGGGAGGATGGGTAACAGTTGTGTTAGTGAGGCAAGACTGGATCTATAAGCCTGGATTGTGTCCTTAGGCAATCTCTTGAGATATAAAAGACAGAAGTGAGCAGTGAGACGGGAACCTCAGACCATCAAGGAAGCAGTGCCGGGAGCAGAGCGCGTCCTTTGGACCGGGGTCCCTGCGCCAAGAAGCTCCTAGTCCGGGGGAACACTGATGAGAAGGCCAAGAGAAAGAGGAAGCCTTCCCTTTGGAGCTGACACCCTGAATTTGGACTTTTAGCTCCTTTACTGTAAGAAAATAAACTTCTCTTTGTTAAAACCATCCACTTGTGTTATTTCTGTTACAGCAGCACTAGATGACTAAGACAGTGAGGGATGATCCTTCCATGAGACAAAGGAAATCCATTTTATAGGGCCAAACTGCCACTTATGACCCTTTATAATTGTTGGGGGAAATGGTATAGATCTAGAAAATGGTTATGCTTAGGAGGTAGTATTTGTAGATACCCATTAGCAGTGTTCCATTTTTCTCAGTTTCTGAGTGAAAAATGATAAAACATACACTTGGGAGCAAGAACTAACCAGAATTTAATCTTTTTCAGAAGCCAAGAAGAAAGGACCCTGCCCTGGACTTGGCTTGTTTTACACATTACTGTCTGCCTTCCTTTTCTCAGTGGGTTCTTTATTTGTTAAAAAAGTACAAGACGTCCATGCTGTAGAAATTAGTGCATATCGATGCGTGTTCCAAATGCTGTTCGTTATCCCTTGCTTAATATACAGAAAGTAAGTATTTCTTAACGGCAAAGTAGAAGATGTTAATAAATGTTTGTAAATCTTTTGACCTGCCTAAATTATTTACTCTGCAGTATCTGCTCTATCCCACCCGTAGATGTACCAGTTCCTTTATCTGTTGGCTCTGATTAGTGAAAAGTCACAAGGATCCACCCACAGAAGATTCTCTCACAAGCGCAAACCATGTTCCCAGCAAAGGGGGAGAAAGAGATTTAGTTAATCACCCCCTTCCATTTTGAAAACAATGCTTTCTTGTGTACTAATTCCCCCATCTTATACCATCCTCCCGTTTTTTCTTTGGTATAACTCATATTTGGGAAAAAAACAGTAAATGAAAGAAAATAGTAGTGTTTCCTAACATCAGTGGTTTCTTTAGAAGAACAGGCTGGTCTCTTAGCGGAGCAGACAGAGGGTTAAAGCAACAACATAGGTCTTCCCAGGGGGATGGTGTGGGGAAGGGGAGAGGTAACCTTAAGAAGGCCTTTTTAACTACTTTCATATTCTGTGTCCTCATCTAAACTGGAGAGAATCATACTTCTGCTTTCTCTACCCAGAAAGGTGGTTGCAATGGTCAAATAAGATTAATTAAATGTGAAATCACTTAGTGTAGAATGTGAGGGTATATGAGATATTCCCTTGTCCTCACAGTACTCTCCCCACCCAATCCCTGTTCCCCTTCCGTATGGACGCCCGACTCCCTGGGTTAAAATTACACCTCCCACACATCATTATAATCTCCACACACCCCACTGTACTTAGAACCCTGGGAGGAGAGACCAGCTGGGTTCCTGGTGTCTGGCACGTTCTCTCTTTGGGCAGAGGTGCTGGCACCTCAAATTAAAAGCTAGAAAGAAAATTATAAAGGCAAAACATCCCTTTTCAGTCACTTGCCACCAAAGTCTCCTTTTGTCTCATAACATGGTACAGATTCACTTAGAACAGTCTCACTCCATAGCATGAATATTGTCAATTTCCTGTGTAAGTATAGTCAAGTCACACTAGGAAATGATGGTAAAGCTTCGGAAATTTCTAACAGTAGCAGCAGAACTGATGCAACATAATCACCTCTGCTTTAGAATAAAAGTATTGTCAGGGGAAGGGCACCAGAAGAATTTCCTTAAATCCTTGGCCCTAATCTGCTTTGGGAGCCCTGGTAGCACAGTGGTTAAGAACTTGGCTGCTAACCAAAAAAGGTCGGCAAGTCCACCAGCCGCTCCTTGGAAACCCTATCGGGTAGCTCTGCTCTGTCCTATAGAGTCGCTGTGAGTCAGAATCAATGGCAACGGGTTAGTCTGTTTTGATCTGTTTTTTGTTTCACTATCATATAAGAACCTTTGCCCTTCAAAGTATGTGCCAAGCAAGATCATGCTTTCGTTGCTGACTAGATACCCAGGGGTTTCCATGTCAGGTCTAGATGCTGCCCTTGTCGGTGAGTTGCACCCAGCCAGGAACTAATACACAATTGGTTTTTAGTAAATATTTAATTGAAAAAAAATTTGAGTAGCATTAATTATACTTACCCAAACATTACGTGTTCTTTTTCAGTGTGTTTTTCTCATTAGACCAATGAAAAGTTGTCTCACATTCAATGACTACAATAAATTTTAGCACTGCTTCAGCATTCATAGATTGGAAAGGCAAGCTAGCCAGGGCTAAGTTTCCTTACACGGGGCAACTAAATCTTAAAATTGCATTTATTATAAAAATAACACATTTTCATTGAGGAAATTTTGGGAAATAAGTATGAAGAAGGAAATTTGCCTGTGCATCTACCTATGAGGTATAACAATTGTTAATGCTTTAGCATATTTTCCTTTCTTTTTTGTGAGCTTGTGTATGGTTCTGTGGGAGAAAGACCTAGCAATCTGTTTCCATAAAGATTATAGCCAAGAAAACCCTGTGGAGCAGTTCTACTCTGTCATATAGGGTCACTGTGAGTTGGAATCGATTTGACAACACGTAATAACAGCAACATATACTCATATATGGGGGAAATGATACCTATATTTACTGAATTACAAATATAGTATTTTGTAATTCTCTACTGTAGTATTTTTACTTATACTATGAATACTTTAATATCATTAGCTGTATTTAGAAAACATTAAAAGTTATATAGTATTCAGTTGTGGATATTACCATAATTATCATTCATTTATTTTTTATATTTAGGTCTTTAAAATAATTTTAATTAAAAATTGTGATTTAAAGACAATTACCGAATTAATATATATTTCTTCATTTGAATTTACAGAACTGGGTTTATAGGCCCAAAAGGTCAACGAATTTTCCTCATTCTCAGAGGATTCCTTGGTTCTACCGCCATGATCCTTTTATACTATGCTTTCCAGACAACATCCCTTGCAGATGCCACAGTTATCACGTTTAGCAGCCCAGTATTTACGTCTATATTTGCTTGGATATTTCTCAAAGAAAAATACAGCCTTTGGGATGCCCTCTTCACCCTGTTCACAATCATTGGAGTGACCCTTATTGTGCGACCACCATTTTTGTTTGGTGCTAACACTAAGAGTATGGAAGAAAGCTATTCAGGCCACCTTAAGGGAACGTTTGCAGCAATTGGACATGCCATATTTGCTGCATTGACTTTAGTTATCCTAAGAAAAATGGGAAAATCTGTGGACTACTTTTTGAGCATTTGGTATTACGTAATACTTGGCCTTGTGGAATGTGTCATCCTCCTCTTTATATTAGGAGAATGGAGTCTGCCTTCCTGTGGATTGGATAGGCTATTTCTCATACTCATCGGACTGTTTGGTTTGGGGGGTCAAGTATTTCTCACAAAAGCGATACAGATTGAAAAAGCAGGGCCAGTAGCAATAATGAGGACTATGGATGTGGTTTTTGCTTTTATCTTTCAGATTATTTTCTTTAATGACGTGCCAACATGGTGGACAGTGGGTGGCGCACTCTGCGTAGTAGCCAGTAGTACTGGAGCAGCTATTCATAAATGCCAGAGTTCCAAATGAGGCATAATTGCTAAAATATATTTTTTTCAGCACACCATTACCCAATTCAGACACACTACACACACACCCCTGCAAAATCTGCTTTTACTTCCTTGATTATATTTAATAAATTTTCTAATTAAAGTATCATTTTTGAATGTGGTATGTCTTTAGTTAAGAATAGTCAGTCTGGTCTAGCAATTTTTTTTTTAATAGCTTTGGTTTTGGTTTTTTTTGATGGGGTGGCATCGATCAGAGGATCATTACTTGAGGAAAAAGCTGCAAAGATGTTTTATGACTGGTATAACTATATGAAATATTTTTTAAGTATATTTTTGGTACTGATGGGGTATGAGTGAGAGGAAATTTTAGATGCTCTTTTAGCAGTGTAGGAATTAAGAAACTGATAATAATGCTGCTGTAATTAGTATTATGTTGATAATTCATTTGCAATATTATTCCATTTAGGAGGCCAAAGCTGTAACTTAGAATAGGTATCTACTTAAGATTTTAATGATACAAATGAATTTACCCTATTTTCAAAGCTTTTATAAGTGATTATCATTTACTTAACCCATATTTGTGCCTTTTCATTTTAATGCTGGAAATTTTTATGTAACCTTTAAAAAAGTCTTTAAATCTCTAGAGTTACCGAATGGTTCCATTTCAGTGGCATTAGTAAGTGCAGCTATCATTCTGTAATTTTAATTGTCCTCCATGTTTTTGAACCCACTAAATTTTTCCTAACATTCTAAGATTTGGGGTTTTTAAATAACAAGAGAAATCTTGGCATGGCCATGTGTACATTTCCATCCTAAAGTGTTTCCCCTCATTAGAAATATAATTTTCTATAAATTCTCTTTGAATTTATAGTGTGATGCCAAATAAAATTTCCTCAGGCTTTTATTAGGTTGAGCCATATGAAATTGCCAACATTTGACCATTTTTAAATTACAAAAACTACAGTTTCATATGGTTCACCCTAATAGACACCTCTCTTACACTCTAGACCAAATACTTAGAGGACTTTGGAATATACATATATATTTAAGTAACTTTTTAAAGCATGATAAGGCCATTAAAGTTATTTTAATAGTCTTTTTCCCTTATGGAATTGTATGTGATAATGCTTCATGTTACATGTTAAAATGTAAAGACCTGTGAATCCATTGTTGGTTGACTTTTGTAGTGTCGTGAATAGGAAAAAAAAAGTTGTAAAATTCTGGTATACCAGTGTGATGTTCAGTGTCAATACTGCACCGTGATACTAACATTATGAACTCAAACAACACATTTTATATTTGGAACTTCTTCAGGCAAATACTCTGCAGTAAAGAGGAGAATTAATATCTAGAAAGCTTCGGAGGTTAATCAGGAAGTGGGGAGTACATACAAATGATTCCTTGTCACAATGAACCCTTTATTGGTGAAGCTATAATGGCCTCCAGTTCTCACTGTGTCAGACATAGCATCTGTTATTATCTTAAGCCTGCAGAGTTGAAAGATGATGGGCTCTTCCCCACCCTCTCATCACAGTTCTTCCAAAGTAAGGAGAAACTTGGCTTCTGGGATTTATGCCTTGGTGAAAAAGGATCATTTCCAGTAGTTCCAGGAAGGAACTTTTGGCTTGCTGATCTTCTCAGACCCTTCCCATCTGGCAAATCCTAAATGAAATCTCGTTAGGGAATTATCTATATCATTACAACTTGAGCCTAACCCACGGTATTGGAATTTAGAGTTTCAAAAGAATCGTTTTGCAAGTGTCTTGGATAATTATAGAATGGAAGCATTTTAGAGCTCCAAGTTCTCTTAGAAATCATTTTGTAGGAGCCATGCTCCACAGATAAGAATGCTAGAGAGGAGACCTGCCCAAGATGAGTCTCCATACCCTTCTCCCTCTCTTAATCCCATGATAAAGTAATGAAAGTAAACCACTACTTGAGCTACCTAAGGTAAATTAACTCTCAGGGAACCCTCTCCCAATTCTTTACCTTGCACAATAAAAGAACCTCTGGGTCCTTGAAAGTTAGATTTCCTTTGGGCCTGTGCACTAGAGACATGCTTTATTTCAGCAGTATGGTTTAAATACTTGAATATCACAATATATGACCAAGTTTGGAGAAAATGTTTCTTCTCCCAGTTTTTACAGGGTGTGATTCTTAAACACTTTTATAATGTCCAAGATGTATACATGGATATGTATTGTAATAATTTTGGGTGTTTTTATTTTGCAAAGATTGTATAGTTTCTATATCTTGAAAAGGAAAATATTTTCAAAAATCATTTTTATTTTATAAGTGCTAATAAAATTAAAATGAGAGAAAGCTATATTTTGGTTTTTATGATTATAGCAAATGTTCAGCCTAATATAACTTATTTGCCATGTCATCCATGGGCTTCAAAGTTCATTTTATATTGGAAATTGACCCTCTAGCCATTCAGCTGTGATGCTGTCTCAACTTTTAAATTGTTACTCTGTTCGTCTGATACTTTCACTTCATATCCAACATCTCCAAAACATAAAGGCTCTAGTCTTCTGTTCCAATGAGGCCTTCATTCTTCTAGACCCCCAGAGCTTGGAGTAGCTTTGAATTCTGTACTTCTCCCGAAGTTACTCTGTTATTGGAGCCCTGGTGGCACAGTGGTTAAGAGCTCTGACTACTAACCAAAAGGCTGGCAGTTAGAATCCACCAGCTGCATCTTGGAAACCTTATGGGGCAGTTCTCTTCTGTCCTATAGGGTTGCTAAGAGTTGGAATCGACTCAAAGGCAATGGGTTTATTCTGTTATTAAGTCCTGCAACGTCTTTTATTCTCTTGTAGATTCACTTTTTCCTTGCCACATCTACTGCTACCATCTTAGTCCAAGACTAATCACCTCACACCTGAATTGCCACAACAGTATCCTAATTGGGTTATCTGCTTTTAGATGCTTTCTTCCACCCTGATCCTTGTCCCAGTTCCAGACTAATCTTCCCAAAGTTCTGCTTTCATTGTTACTCTGGTTCTCATGAATCCACAATAATGCCTTATTACACACCACTTTACATCCAAATTCTTCATTATCTGGCCCTATTCCTACTTTCCCAACCTGATTTCTCATGTCCCTGCGCAAATTCAATACGCAGGTCCATCTTCCCACCAACTCCCATATTTGCCAAGGAATCCCTCCCTCTGTTTCCCCTGCTTTAAGTGCCTTCTTTTCTTTGTCCTCTAAAGCCTGTTAGCCTCCAGTGGCTCAGCTTGAGGTCGTGTTTATTCCATTGTAGCTCATGTTTCTCCCACCCACACTAATTCACCTTGGAAGAGTGGTTAAAGCACTAGACTAGGAGTCTGAAGATCTGAGTGTGGTTTTATCACTTTCCAGCTAGGCAAGTCACCTAACTTACTGGCCTGTTTTCCTTGTTTGATAAATACAATATTACCTGCCCAGCCCATCTGACAAACTGGTGCAATATAATGTCTTGTAAACCAAAAAGGATGATAAAAACATTAAGTATTGAACTGTGGTTAATACTCTAGAGTTGAACATTCACTCTCCTTCTCTTCAAAATGATGCCTACCCCAGAGTCCTTACTCCTGAGCAGACTGACCAGGATGCAAATCCCATTTGGCGCCCTCCTGGGAGCACAGTATTGTGTTGTTGGACTCCTTTCATTTCCTCGTTAATCTGCATATATAGGGCTGCCAGCGATCACCAGTCCTTTATGTTATGCATAGATGTTGCTCTTTCCAGTTCTAGCTCTGGTCCTCTGTGGGTATTGCACTCCGCTCTGGCGTGCAATGGATCTGATTCTCTGTGTTTCCCATGCGCAATTCCCTATACCCAACTGCTCTTCTGAGGTTGATGAGGTTGATGTTATTTTCTCCATTAAAAAAAAAAAGCCAAACAAAATTATGAGAAAAAGAATTAGAGAACTTGCATAAGGTCACATAGCCAACAAAGGACAGAGCAGACCACACATGAGTCTGTTTGACCCAAGGCACTTTGTTATTAACCTCATGCTTTCTATCTGGAGATATGAGGAAATAAATTGCTCTGAACTTCACCCTAAAGGCCTTGGAGAAGGGAAGGGCCTAAACAAAGCTCACAGGAACAGCCCTAATCCCGCAGGTAAGGTGGGTAGCCAAACAGGCCACTCCCTGTGAAAGCAAAAGTCACCTAATAATGAAGCAGAAACCATGCGCTAGTGAATTTCCCCAGCTGGAAAAAAATACAACGAGTAGCAATGATGAGGTGATGAACAAGGTGAAACAAAAGGAAAGCAACACTAACTGGACAGAGAGAAGAATGTTTGAACATCAACAAAGGACAGAGTTGGTGAGAGAAAAAATTAACCTAAACTTGGCAGATAGAACATGCAGTCTCCATAAAGTGAGTGGAAGTGGGTGCCACAGTTCCTATCTGTGATGTTGCCCTTAGGAGGAGGAGGAACTGGAGTCTGGAGCCAGGTCAGAGGTGACCAGGATGGACTATGAAGATAAAGAGAAGCCGGATTCAAAGGAAGAGCCAAGTTCTCAATGAAGGAGATAAGGATGTGCAGGCATCCCAAGTGTGTATATGGTAACAGCCCTTTCTGGAGTGCTCAGCATGGGCTTCCAGGGGAGACAACTGTTTATATGCACTCTGCTAGGACTAACCCAAAGAGCCCAGGTGGTGCAGTAGTTAGGAGTTTAGCTACTAACTGAAAGGTTGGCAGTTCGAACCCAATAGCTGCTCCAAGAGAAGAAGATGTGGCAATCTGCTTTTGTAAAGATTACAGCCTTGGAAACCCTGTGTGCTCTGCAGCTAACCCAAGTGCTTCTCAAGAAGACGTGATGATTGCTCCTGTAAAGACTACAACCTAGAAAACCCTATGGGCAGTTCTACTCCATCACATAGGGTTGCTATGAGTTAAAATCAACTCACTGGTACACAACAACAGGACTAACCCCAAAAGTTAGAGTCCATATAAACAGTCCTCAGTGAGATGAAGGCATCGCGCTAAATTTATTAAACATGTACATTATGCCTTTTCCATATTTAGTTTGGGTGGTTTTGTCTTTTTTTTTTTTTTAATGTTCTCACATGGCAAATATAAAACTTGACAACCTTATATTGGTCCTCCAGTTTTATTTTTAAAGTGTTAGTTGTATATAAAATAATAATAATAAAAACTCCTTAAGATTTCTTTCTTTCTCAGATATATTAAATTTTGTATCTCTCTATAATTTCTGTTTCTGTCTATAAACTACTTGCTCTACCCCAACTCCATCCCCTCAGCATATAAATAGGCTCAAATTTCTTCCAATTAAACCAAATTAAGTAAAACTTTCCTTAAACTCTCCTCCTTTCCTCTCTTAAGTACACTCTAAGTTTTCCCTTCTTTAACTACAGCTTTTTCCTCAACTGTTTTTCCTCCCAATTTTTCAATCTGGCAATTGAATCTTAAATAATTGTGCAGTAGTTTCTCCACACCAAAGTAAAGATGAATGAAAATCTATTATTCAATTTTAATGTTTTCCCCTCTGGTTGAATCACTAGTATTCAAACAGTATTGCTTTCTTTTTAATCCCTTTGGGAGGGCATGAGTCAGAATTGACTCGACGGTAACGTGTTTGGTTTTGGTTTGGGAGGGCAGAGTAATTTCGCCACCAAAAAAACCAGTAGGCGGTTGAGTCAATTCCAACTCATGGTGACCCTATAGGACAGAGTAGAACTGCCTCACAGGGTTTCAAAGGAGCCACTGATGGATTTGAACTGCAAACCTTTTTGTTTAGCAGCTGAGCTCTTAACCACTTCGCCACAGGCTTCAATTTAGCTACACTAAGCGTTATTTAGAGCCCTGGTGGTGCGGTGGTTAAGAGCTTGGCTGTTAACCAAAAGGTTGGCAGTTTGAATCCATCGGCCGTTCCCTGGAAACGCTGTGGGGCCTTTGTCTGCTCACTTGGGAACTTAGCCAAGTTACTATGCTTGTGTACAAGAGAAAAGCCATGTTCCAAACTGACTTTCAAAGAAACTTTGTTTTTCTTTTAACTTTTCTTTTGGCATGATTCAGAAATACAGAAATATTGCAAGAAATTGTACAAAGAATTCCTGTTTCCTTTCCCCTAGATTCCCTAGAGGAGCCCTGGTGGTGCAACTATTAAGCACTCAGCTGCTAACCAAAAAGTTGGCAGTTCGAACCCATTTAGCTGCTCAGCAGGAGAAGACCTGGTGATCTGTTTCTGTAATGATTGCAGCCAAGAATACCTTATGAGGCAGTTCTGCTCCATGACAACAACAGATTCGATAGGAGTTCACATTTGAGAGTAAATTGCAGTCATGATGGCCCTTTACACCAAAATACTGCAGTGCATATTTCCTTTGAAAGAATATTCTCTTAGTAACCACAGTAAAATTAGCAAAATCAGGAAATTAACATTAATGCAATGCTATTATCTAATGTACAGATGGTATTCACATTTTCCCAGAGACAGCAGTAGTATTTCAAACAGAAAAGCTTTTAAGATTCAGAAATCGTGAACAGGAAGGTGATTTCAATGAAGTAGTTTAGGAGTTCTCATTGTTAAAGGATGTTGATTTGGACATCTGCCTGGACTACACTTTGAGGAAAGAACTGTCAAAATAACTTGAGTCTATATGCTTACGATCCCCTTGGTGTAGAGCTCAATTTTACCGGTAGATGTCACCATAGTCATCTATAGATTTTAAAAAAAAAAAAAAAAAAAAACCGGTGACCTCATTGGTGTTTAAGGAATATCGGGGGGCGGGGTGGGGGGGAAGCAATGAATAGGCTCTAGCCAGAGCTGTGTCTTCTAAACTTGTCTGCTCATATCTTTAGAGATCATTTTTATTTGCAAACACTAGAGCTTTCCC